CTTTTACTCAAGTCATTATATTTTGAAGTATCTCTACTTTCTGCATTAAACCAAAAACTCACCAGACAGACACACAACAAATTAGACGGCTACTTTTCCACCTTTACTTGATTAAAACATGTTGAGGTTCTGAAGCATCCGGTTTTGTTTTAGCATTCAGAGCGAACGGAGCGTCTCCTGCAGCGCATCACATCCGTCAACAGGCCAGCAGCGGCTGCAGAAAGCTGCTGATGAAGGGATTTTCCTGCCATGCCAAAGGGCAAATAAAACCCTGAAGCCAGCGAACACAGACGCTGCATACTGTTCTTTACTCTCCTCTTTATCCGCCTGGTGCTTTTATCCAGAGATTAAGAGGTTTAGAGGGAACCGAGTAAAGAACGTGGTTCCCCTGCAGCAACAAGCTGGATAGAGACTCTTTTCTCCTAGTCAACAGATATTGTATTGTTTAAAAAACAAGCAGCTGCAAGGAAGCAAAGGGGAAAAAGGAGAGGCGGCGTGCTTTTAGACAATAATCTGCAAAGAATCTGGATTACCAACGAGGCAGGATAACAGCTGATGTTTACAAGTTTATTCTGACCTTCCACTCATTTTGTGAAAGCTGCTATGAATTAGCATGCTAACTTCATGTAGCTCAGATAAAAGACTTTAAAATACGTTTGTACTGTGGTTGTATTAACCTTAAAGACCACTCAGGTCTACTGGTCCAGAACCAGAACCGAACATGGAAAAGCCCAGATTTTATAAAACTATCATCAAGTTGTGATGGTTTAAAATGAGACAGAAAATCTGAGAGAAATAACATAAAAAATTAAGCTACTAACCCAAAACAACCAATCAGAGCCAGGAGGAGGGTTTAATGCTGTCAATCAACACTGTGAATGTGCTGCTAAATGTTCTAATGGTGAAGAAACAAATTACATTTAGAGGAAAACCATTTATCCTTAACTAGCCTTAGCTTTACTGACAGGCTATGTTGCAGAGAGCAAAGGGTGGAGGGAGCACAAGAGTGATTGACAGCGCTAAGATCCTCCTCTTGGCTCTGATTGGTTGTTTTTGACTTAGTGGCATATTTCTGGAAGCTCAAATTTTTCACATTAACTGTCACAATGTAACAATAACTTTAATAAACATGTAAAGAAAAGTAAAAGACAGTAAAGAAGCCAAATAGAGGCTCTTTCTCCTTTTATTACAAACTATATTGTTTATCAAAACAAGCAAAGGGAAGATGAGTCTCACCAGTTCTATCTGTGAGAATTGAATGATAAACGGTTGAACCGTTCCTACTTATGTTTGAAGCTCTGCGTCAGAAACTGACCCGATGACTCCGCCTGGCTGCTCTCAGCTCAATCTGTTTGCACTCATGTTTCCTGACAATGTGGGCCTTGCTTCACGTTTAATTCTGCCCTGACAGACACGGCCAGGAGACTGTCAAAGCGCGAGCCATCAAAGGCGGGAGCCGGCCCAAACCGCCGGCCCAAACCGCCTGCGCATCGGCCAGAGTCGGCACCGTCCGGCTTCGGCGTCTTTAATGAGCTCTGAGCTGTCGGAGCGAATGCAGTCGCGTCTCCTCACCTTCCTCTCCGTGGGTTCCTGTCAGCCGGGAAAAGATCAGCGGCGGAACCACAGAAAAGAAGAAGTTCAATTCTTCTCCAAGTGCTCCTGATACTCGGGGAGGCTTTAAATAAAACATGGAAACGAATCCCGACACGATGCAGGGCGGCGTTTTCGATCAGAGGCTTACACAAGGCAGGGCTGTTATACAGCTGGAGTAATGGTGTAGCCAGAACTGCACAGAGGGCCAATAAGACAATCAATGATGAATTACATGACACCGGGGCTAATGTCCTTGATTAGTCTTGCTATGCGAACAAATGAAGCGAGGCCCTTGACAATCACACTGGAGACAATGCGGCTCCAATAGGAGCTGATGTGTCTGCAGCACATGAGCTCAAGTCTCATTATACAAACTCATGGTCAGGAGACGCATAAATCCTTCAAAAGCACGTTTAAATCCTGATTGTGTCCTTGCAGGCTTGTATAAACAGAATCATGTTTGCCTATGGAACCAAAGACGAACATTTTCTGCTCAGACATGATGAATCGAGACAGGATTCATGAATCATAATAATAAAAAAAAGCCATTAATTTATGTGTTGAAGAATGTGGCCTCTTAATAAAATAGATAAAACCAAATTCCACATCATTTTGTTGGATTATAATCATTAATGGTTGTCTTAATCAGAGGTGGACCCAAACAACATTATTAACCAAAACACTACTCCAATATATTTTTACTTTAAAGAGAGAGCATCACGTATTTTAAAGGCACATTGCACCATTTTATTGCACAATCTCTGTTACCTTCAGTCTGTATATCAAAAAACAAGAAGTTTGATGCTTTGAAATTGGGTCTTTGTCTCTTCAAGAAGCTCCTGCTCTTTTCCACGATGCCGTTTCAACCGTGTTTATCAACGCTGAACTGAGAAGTAGTTGCGGCAGGTGTTTGCTAACTGCTGCTGCCGCTAGTCTATAGGAGCTGAGAGGAAAAGGGACGGGGTGTAGTGAAAATCCCAGCAAGTAAATATAACTGAACGAATGTAACTAGTTACGACCCACTTCTAGTCTGGTCAGATTTATGTTTGACGTTTTATTTTGAAATTTAATGTGTTATTTTATGGTGTTTATCAGACAGACGTACAGAAACATTTTTGGTAATTTTTTTTTTTAACTATTTTAGAAAAGTGACGTTATTAATTGGTGCTAATTTATGAAATCATCACTTTTTAAACACATGTAGTTTTATTTTATAAGAGCGCAAACATTTTTTAGTCTGTGATTAAACTGTAATTAATACCTATTTAGCTAAACCTGGACTTCTTAAAATACAAAAGCAAACAAACATATTTGTTTGTTTCATTTCAAGTCACCTTTTCAAAACAGCCTCATTTTTCCTTTCCAACCACTTCACATGCAAGAAGATCTACTTTTATCTCTTCTGCCAACAGTCTGCACTCAAAACTTAAAGCAGGTTAGAAATCCCAAAGCTCACAGCGGGAACATCATGTGAAAAAGAGAACATCCTGCTGACAGGTGACTTGTAAATTCGCAGCTTTAAATTAGGTGAGAATACAAACAAAGCCCTTCAACTGGAGGCACTCTGCACCAAACAAGGGAGGGCTCCAAGAGATGATTTTAAATTAACTGACCTTTTAAAAAGGCATCGCTAATCTAGTCACATGAAACAGCAATTTATGAGGGGGGGAAGTGTTCATTTACTAGCAATGAGCATCTATCAATCTTGGTGACAGACGAGTACGCTGGGGAGAGGGAGGAAGACGGAGGGCATGGCGACTGGAGCTGCAGCTCCTGACACGCTAACGCTAATGTTTCATAAAAAGCTAAAGCCTGAGCACACAAACTGCATCAATCACAAGTGGCTGGAGGCCTCATTTAAGAGCAGAGAGAAATCAAAGTCGGACCTCTGCGCCCTCGGCGACTTCCACGGACCAGCTCCAACAAAGCCATTTGTGTTCACCTCCAGCTAATTAGTCGAGAGAAGAACAAATTGTACGTTTGATTAATGAAGTAGGCGCAGAAAGCAACTGATTCCAGTCCAAGATGTCCCTCCCAAACACAATCTGGATTCTGCACACATGCATCTGCATACATATGCAGGGAGAGTCTGAGGCGGCGGTACGCGATGGAAATTGCTGGTGGATGTGTTTGCGAGCGTCGCGTAATTGTAGTTTTACTTGGCAGAGAACGAGACGTCATAAACGCCTCAAACCCGCCATCTATTCTCCTTAAGTGCCGGTTGATGAAAAGACAATAACAAGATGAAAAACAGCCAGGGAGGGCAGCGGCTCATCAGGGACGCATCAGACGCACTCCTTCAAATCTGAAGAGCGGCGATGAGTACATGAGAGTCCATCAGGGTGTGAAGAAACACGATCACACAGGAAAAAAAAAAGCCGCAACACAAACTGTGCATCGCTGACAGAAACATCCTGCCGGATGATCGATGTGTCCAATGGCGCTTAGCTTCCCGGTTCTGCGTTTCCGGCTCGGCCCGCAGGCTGACCGCCCTGCTAACACTCAGCGGCATCCTCCACACAAATGAGACGCACATAAACATCAAGGCTGTTTTCACACCTCACAGTCGGGTAAAACTGGTTCGATTGGGAAACAAAACGGCAACATTTGTTACATTTTCAGCTGCTGTGGTTTTATTTCACACTGCACTGAGTCAAACAAATCAAAGCTGTTCTCCTCCTTACCTGTGGGGGCGCTGCACCAAGAACCACTAAATGAAACGACACTAAAAGCTTCCGTCTTCATAAAATGTAAATAAAAATAGAGTAGTAGGATTTCTCTTTCGTTTTGGTGAAAATCACACATTTCTCCCACTAGAGCTAGGCTACCATGTTCGATTTGGTTGTATTTACCCAGAATCCCCTGCGCTGTTGTCCACTTCCTGCTTTTGGCGCAGTCCCCAGTCTGCTTGGCGTTCACATGTACATCCAAACCACACCAGAGTTCACTTCAACCAAACTGAGACCGAAGTTTGTAGGCAGAACAGAGTTTGCTTTGTTGGATTTTCATTCACACTTTCTCAAACAAATCAGACTTTATGAGCAAACTGAAGTGGACTGAACAGTAAAACAATCAGTCCAAGTTTCAACAGTTCTGTTGTTTTTATAAATACAAATTAAAAGAAGTCAGAAGCCTCCTCAGATCTGTTGTGAAACTGACTGCTACTGGAGATCCTTCCTGCCACCCAAAGCAATTCTTTTAAAATATGTGGATGATATTATGATGTGTTATAACAACATTTACTTTCCACTCGGGATAAATAAAGATGATATGAACATTCCCTGTCTATCAATCAATGTGTAAGGATGAAGAGCATTAGCATGTAGCAACGACATCCAGGAGAACCAAGACAGACACATTGGGAGAATATCTGAAGGAAAGTGTGTTTGTGTTGCTGAACAACTCACATTTTTCAAGCGCATCCATCGCAGCTCCCATTTCAGCCTGTTGGATGCTGGATTAGAGGGAGACAGAGACACACAGGCAGGGGAGGATTTTAGCATATTCAAAATGGGACTTTCTGAAATTCTGTCAAAGAAAAGAAAAACAGGCCTGGTGCTGAGAGGATTATCAGGAGGCATTATTTTTATTCTTAGCGCCCTTCAGCCTGACAGTCGCAGGTACCGCAGCGCACTCACTTCGGAAAGCACCGGGCGCCGTTTGCGTCTGCAACTCGGCGTCGTCCTGCGTGTATTATGTTGATCGTAACCTCAGCATTGGAGGTGGCTGGAAGCTTAAATCATGTAAATACGAAAACAGCGCGCGCGCCGAGATTCTGCAAAAGGGACAAACTTATCGCCAGCTTAGAGCAACAGAAACTGCTTTCAAGTGTGGATGGATGGATGAGTGTGTGTGTGTGTGTGTGTGTGTGTGTGTGTGTGTGTGTGTGTGTGTGTGTGTGTGTGTGAGAGGATGAGATGTTTGATGGATTTAGGTTTCATTTCTCGCAGGCTCAGCTGCGGCTTTATCGCCTCCAACCCTGAAAAGGCCGCCGTGTGGAGATTCACTTTCTCTGCTCTCCATGAATACAGGAAGTAGCGATGCAAAACAACAAAAATAATAATAAGACAAAGGTTGCAGACTGCAAAAACACGAAATATTACCAAGTATTTTTGGTCTAATTTCTACAACAAATATCTTAATACACTTAAGACAAAACTACCTTGCAAGTAAATGTTCAGCAGGATCCAGAGACTTGTTTTAAGTCATCTTTTCTTAAAGGGGACCAATTATGCAAAATTCACATTTTCCACGTGTTAATAATTCAATTTACAGCTTCTAAGAATAACCAAGGCACTTTAAACAATAGTCAGTTTTTGACAATAAGTCAATATTACCAAGTAATTTTGGTGTCTGGAAAATGAGACGTTTAAAAAAGCATCATAAATCAGTTACCTAGCAACCCAAGCTGAGTTCCAACACATTTGGTCAGCTGGTTTTACATATGCGCTGTACAATGGCTGCTGGAAAAGAAAAGTGTTTTGTTGCTGACTTACCATTCAGAAACCACTTGCTGCATTCTAGTTTTTTGAGAAGGAGGCTCTACTAATGCTTTTCAAAAAGGTCTGATTGTATCATTGCGTATCTGTGTGCAGCCACTTTCACGTGTGAGAGTTAAATGTTGAGTTGTTGGGCGTGGCCAGCAGATCTTTTGGATTTAAAGTGACAAGACGCCCTAAAACTGAGCAGATTGAAATCTTATTACCCAGAAATGATTTTGTGCAGAAAACATATTGAACATGTTTTTTTTTATAGATTCTCACCTGTTCACAGAAGAATGGGTCACTTTTATTATAATCCTACAGATTTTTTTCCCCAAGTGAAATAATCTACCAGTGAAACATGCTTTAAAAATCAATATTAAAAAAATATTGATTTCAAAAAGCTTCACATTTATTACTTTAAAAATAGTCTTGTTTCATTTCAAATGTACCAATATGTTTCCACTTGAAACCAGAGCAAAAATACTTGGTAATATTACATTTTTTGCAGTGTGAAAAACACAAACGCTTTCCTGCGCCTCCTGCTGCGGCCGCAGAAATCCCAGGTGCAGCGTCGCCTCGGCGCATTCGCTTCTGAGCAGCAAAGTGATATTTTCATAACAAAATTTATGTCAAATCAATAATGAATTGATTCATTTTCATTGTGCATAATGTCTCTCCCAATAGAGCTGAGCTTAATTGCCATAATAAACGGCATCAGTACAGCGAAGCCATTATTCTCATCCCATTAGTAGTGCACTGAGAAGGAAAGCAGCTGCTTGTTGTTGGATATTTTTAATCTTATCACAGTTTTCTGAACATTTTTCATTTCAGAACTTTGTTAGTTCAAACCATCAAAACCAAAATTTACTGTGAGTTTAAGATATTTAAGGTCTAAAAGGAAGAATTGAAGGATCAGGATTTCGACATGTTTCACATAAAAATATCTGATTTTTGTTTTCTAGAGTTTCCAGACGTTCGTGTTTTAAAATATAAACATTCAACTGGTAAAACCTTAAAACGAGAAGCAAGAAAGAAAAGAAAAACACAAAAATGTTTACAGTGGGATTGTCGACTGGGAATGAGGGGATTTTTCTCACCTTGGGCCTTTGCCGCAGCCGATGCGTTCTCCTTTGAAGTAGACGGCGACCGTGTACGTCCGGGCGTGCGACGGCCCGACCGTCTGCAGCGTCCTGCGATCAGCAGGAACAAACAAACAATCATGAGTCCAGGAAATTCATCTGAAGCAAACAGAGTCGCTCAAATGGTTGGAGCTGCTGACGAGAAACGGAGAAAAGAAGCGACTCGTTAACAATGATCCTCGTTCAACAGAAAAGAAACGGCGAGTCCGTTTCATTCCTGCAGGGACGGCAGCACAAACACGCTGCGACTCGGATGAATTACTCAGCGTTTACTTATTATTTCAGCGACTCGATCCATTTTTAATGCCGTGTGTCAATTATGACGGCGGAATCAATAATGCAGCGAGAGCGTCAGAACCGCACAGGAAGTACTGACGGCCTGCTGCGATGGAGCGGATCAGCCTCTCCTCTGGTCTGACTCCTGACCTCTGACCTCTGGGAGGAGCGTCAGCTGGAGGTCAGAGCATCAACAGAGCAGAGTTTTCCAGGAGATTTTTTTTATAAAACTGTGTGGAAATTAGAGATTAAATAAACGACAGGAAAGGAAGGAAAGATGGAAGAAAAACATCTTTCAACAAAAGATTAAGAAAATAGAGAAAGATGAAAGAAAGGAAGTACAACAAGGCAAGAAGAAAAGAGGGGAGGAAGTAATAAAGATAAGAGGAATCAAAAGAACAGAGGAAGGAAAGTTAGAAAATGACGAAAAGGTAGATAAAGATAGGATAGGACAGAAGGAAAGGAAGGAAGGACGAAAGGATCGGAAAATGGTAAATAAGAAAATGAGGGCAAAAGGAAGAAACAGGGAACGAAGAGAGGAACAAAAAATAGGAAGAAGGAAAAAAGAAAATGATGGAAAGACAGAATAAAGCAGGAAAGAAGTAAAACAAGGATGTAAGGAGTGAAGTAAAATAAGAAATTGAGGTAAAGAGAATTAAGTAGAAGGAGGAAGAAAGAAAATTAGAAAAAAATGGATTAAATGAAGTAAAATAAGCCAAATAGGAAGGAAGGAAACTAAAAAGCCTCATAAATCTTTGATTCGACTTCCATATTTTTCCAGGAAGTGAAGGAGCGTCTTCGCATCGACCTGCGGAGGTTGGGCCGCCGCCGCAGGAAGTCAGGATCACCCGACCGGACCCCGGTCTCCGCGGAGCGCCGCTCGCTCCGGGTGAATCGCTGAGATGCGTCTCGCCGCGGGCGGCGGAGCGCTGAGGGACGCGCCGTGTCAGAAACCAACAAAAGCAGGAGGAAAAATGAAGCTGAATAAACACGGAGCGGGACAGAAGGCGCCGACTGAACACTGGACATCAACGCCAACTTCTGTCTCCACGCTGACCTCCTGTTTTCTACGTCTCTATGGCAACAAACGCGGCGTGATGGCGGCCGTCCCGAGTCTTTTATTGAGCTCGACTTCTTGTTGAATGAGAGGTTTCGGCGGCCATGTTTATTTATCACCACAGCGACCTTCAGACCGGAGGTCAGAAACGTTCTGGGACCAACAGCAAAGAAGGGAAAACAGATTTTACTTTTCTAAACATTTACAGTGAGCAAAATAAGAGGCTAAACAGCAAAGCTCTGATTTTAGAGGGAAACCCAAAAATATAAGAATATAATAATTTTTAATGACAGAGATCATAATTACGGGTTTTCAGACTTTATTTTCTTACTTTTGGAATTATGATGCGTAACTGAAAAGACTTTCTGCAGGATTCAACACCTAAAAATCAAGACTTTTTAAGACCACCATGAATCCAAATTAAGACCTGTGTTCTCACACTCAACCTAGAGTTATAATATAAATTTGCACTCACCTGTAACAGAGGCAGAAAAAAAACAACAACTAGCAAGGTCACATTAGCAGCTATTAGCATCGACCACCTGGAGTCACATTGCTAATAAAATTATTGTAAAAAGCCTTTTAATGATGACTTTAAGAAGGGCTAATGCTTAGATTTATCCAGAAGTGCCACTAAAAACAGTTTAAAGAAACATTTTAGATGTTTTAATTTAAGCTTATTAAAACAATCCAACATATGAAAGATTTGATAGTTTGGACACAATTTCTCCAAAAACCTGAGCAGAAAACAGGGCTTACATTTATTCATTTACTAAAAACAATTCAATTTAAAGTCATTTTATTAAAAATGACAATGAATCAGCTACATAAATATAGAATTTTATGTGTTTTATAGTAAGTCAGCAAATTCTGAGTTGCTAGCATTTTAAAAACTATGTTTATTCCATAGTGATTTGTAAGGGAACACGTTCAAACATTGTGTTTGCAGCAGTTTGACGGTCAGTGGCTCAGAATAGCATCACAGCTGGCCTCGAGCAGCGCGTACACAGCGCCGCGTACGGAGCGGCGCTGCCCCGACTTCTCTCAGCTCTTACTTGTACAGCGGGATGTCGGGCTCCTTGCCCTCCGTTCTCAGGGTCAAACAGCACTGCTGCAGCTGAGATTTGGGGTCGTTCCAGTCCTGGTTCAAAATAAACTCCTGCAACACACAAACCACTCATTTCATTTCGATCTGTTTTTTCTTTAAAAGCCATTTCTTTGAGAGAATCAGTGCGCAGAAAGTTAGGACCCCTCTCCTTTGGCTCTTGCTTTTATTTCATTCCCGCCATCCCAGCGCTTTTTATAAAGCTCCCCCTTTTGGACTCACTTATTTGCTCGCTCTTAGACTGGCTCTCCATCTGTGTCTTCACAGTGGGTACAAATCACAAGCTACTTAAGACAAAAGCCAATCCCCGGCCAGAAATAAAAAGTGTCTGGGAGTCTCCCAGGTGTGCAGCCCTGATACATTTTTCCTATCCAAGTGGGACTTCTAAAAGCCCTTCCATTAACAGGGAAGCAGCCTTGTCATAAAAAGGCAGACTTTGAATGCAGAACTGTCTGCTCCTATTAATTTTCTACAAAGAGTGCTTCTGCTGCTTGTGCTCCCTTGCTCTCCATCTCTTTTTTTTCCCTCCATCCAACTTTCCCCCCCATCTCTCACTGCGAAAACAGAAGCATAGCGAGTGTTTTTGGTCTGGTTTTTTCCTGAAAATCTCTCAGTACAGTTGAAGTAAGACAATAATTCCTGAAAGGTGACCCGATCTGCCTCCTTGAGCGGGTTGGGATCGGTCTTTATTCTTAGATAATAAAATTTTAGTTAGAACGAGAATTTTTAAATCCAAATGAGCTGCTGGCCACGCCCAAAAACTCAACGTTTACTTTGACATGTGGAAATGGTTGCAAACAGATGCACAATTGCACAACCGTACATCTTTGAAAAGCAGAAGTGGAGCCTCCTGCACAAAAAACAAGAATGCAGCAAGTGGTTTCTGGAAGTTGAGCCAACACCAGAACACTAGTCTTTTCCAGCAGCCATTTAACTACTGAGGTTAAGCCAGCTGACCAAACATGCTGGAGCTCAGCTGAGCTTTACTGGGGTTGCTAGGTAACGGGCAGGACTCTGCTGATCTGTCACGTTAAATTCGGAAAGTTTCCCAGATACCAAGAAAACGTGAACTTATTGCCCAAAAAAGCAATAAAAAAAAAAGTTGAGACCCAAATAGAAACACAAAAATGTGCAAAGAGCAAAATAGTTGCACTGGTAGATTTCCACTCTAGCAATGAATAATGGTACATAAAGATTAAGGAGTTATTAAACAAATATCTTGCAAATATCTCAGATCACTTTAAATTAGACAAAAATAACTTACAAGTAATTTTTCAACAAGCTTGTTTTGAGTCAATAATTTATCAATATTGACGATAAAGTACTAGTTCCACTAGCAGATTATTTTAAGACATTTTTCTCATGTTATACATTAAACAATCGGAAACTAGTACTTTACCAATACTGACTCAAAACAAGCTTGCAGTGCAAGTTTTGTCCTTTTTCAAGAGTTCATGAGATTTGCAGAGGAAACTAGACTAAAAATACTTTTGTGTTTTTGCAGTGCTTCTGGGCGGTGGGAGGGTTTCACGCTCCTTCAGCATGAAGCAGAGGAATTTTGATGTTTGGAAATGAGCACAAAGCCCACCTCTGCTGCAGAACAAGCCACTCCTGTTGCAAAATGCACTTGTGCAAGCTGCTCGATATGCATCATCACACGGCGCAGCACAAAGGAGGGAAGAAATACGGCAAGGTTGGCTCTCTATTTCCATCTAAATTGGATGAAGCAGCACAGTGTGCCACGCCGTCTTTCCACAAGGCTGTGTAAGGAGACGTGCTGGCTGTTTCACAACTTTTCCTCTTGGATGTGGAAATGAGGTGCTCTCTTGCAGCGACCATGACGCAAAGCTCAGCTCCTCCAGAGCTGAGGATTCTCCCTGGAGAGGCACACCAAGACAGCAATTAGCATGGCATATCAGACCGCTGCAGCAGCCTCACAAGGAGAGGTCCAGGCTGCGCGGGACTCGCCATATGTGTATCTGATAGTTCTGCAAGCAATCTGGGATGTTTTCTCTCTACATTTGGACTTGGGGCACTTGAATAAAAATCCGCTCTGGCCGCAGGAGTTCTGAAACGCACTCGACTTCCTCAGCCACATTCCTTAGATCAATAGCCAAACGCTGATGAGCAGCAACAACATCCCGACGCATGCACCTCTGCAACGTTTGCGCTTTCCATTAAAAGTGGACTGGAATAGCAGCGCGAGCCGCCATTATGAGAGGCATTCGAGAGCCAAGCACCACTTCAGGGCCCCTGCATCGATCAGGGCCCGGCCATTAGCTCCCTCCTCATCATCATCATCTCCTCGGCGCTTTTCTCTCCTTAAGGTGCCCTGCTCGGCAGCGCATTGATCAGGCGCGGCCGCTGAATGGCCATCGATAGGTGCTCACCTTCAGCCGAGGGAAAAAGCAGACGTTCATGAAGGTGTGAACGTACTCCAGGTCTTTGTCGATGTAGAGAGCCGCGATGAAAGCTGCAACAACAAAGAGAGCACTTATAAAAAAGCAATAAAAGACGAAAAAAGAAAGCAAGGTAGCCGGTTAAGAACTTGTCCTCAACAACAGTCTTCTAGTTCTTCTTTTGAGATAAATGGAAGCTAAAAACCCAGAAGGCTTCAGCAGCAGACTGGAGTTTCATGTAAACATTTTGAAACGAGAACCACGTTTCCATCTAATGTAGCAAAATATCTGCAGTCAATCTTAAGTCATCCTGAATTAAATACCCAAGTAAACTATAAATAAAGCAGAGGCTTATGTCCCGTAACGTAGTGCAAAGGTCAAAAGTTTTAATGCACAGAATGTATCCAGCCTCGTAAGTTTGGCATCAGAAACGACCCAGAGGGGAATAAGAACAAATAAATCTGCACTTTTAAAAACAACATACACAAGACAAAACCTTCAACTAAGACTTTTTTATTCTGGGAAATGTTGCAGAAAAAAAACACAGATATATTTGAGTTTATTTGGTTTAATTTAACATCATATTGCAAAAGCAAAATCTAGTTTCTAGTGCAAATGTCTTAAAGCATTCTAAGACAAAACTATTCTGGTGGAAGTTTAAGTTGCAAGTTAGTTTTGTTTTATTTTAATTTTACTAAAATATTTCCTTCAGAAAATAGACAAAAATACAGATTTAGTTTTTGTAGTCTAATTGTTGTGTTTTAATGCACATTAAATGCATTTGTGGTTTGAACTGTTAAAATAAGCAGCTTTAAGTGTTTTAGAAAAGGTCTCAAGTATTTGTCTTGAATTTCTCTGTTTCACTTCAACAAGCCAACAATTATTGATCACTCTCTGTTGATCTATCTCATAAAATTCTATTAAAACGCAGTGAATCTTGCGGCTGTAACATGATAAAAGGTGGAAATGTTCAGGGGGTATTAAACTCCCAGGCAGCCTCTTTAAGATGAAACTGTACATCAAACTGCGGCGCTTCCAACCCAGCTGAAAAAGATTTCAAACGTAAGCAGAGGTCATGCGGTGTCATCTTCATCTCTCCGCGGCGCCTTTTGTTTTCCCATTTGCCGCCGCCGCATTCACTCATCTCAGCGGCTAAGACAGCAGGACACGAAGAGCGAATAATAGGTAATATTTCAGAGGGGCCAGTAAGGGGCCTGCCGCCGCCTCGGGGCGCGACTCTTCATATAGAGAAGAGCTGAAATCATTTCCATCGCTGGCCTCTCCACTTCCTCCTGTGTCATCAACTCTGCTCAAGCCCACAGAAAAAAAAAAGTGTTCATTTTTTAAATCTGAGCCATGATTTGAAAGGCAAATGATATGAATCACAGTTTGGTTTTTCATCATTCCGGAAGTGTTTATTCCCAACTTCCCATATGCTTCCGTCCCAGTTTGCTCTCTTTCTGTTGGCGTAACGCGGCGGCGGATGCGGACGCGGCGGCTCGGTCCCAATAAGAGACATATTTACATGCGTTATTCATCTTTTAATCTGGACAGACAAACAGTCTCTTCACTCTGGGCTTCAACTCAAGTGAAGGTTTGGCAGAGATGAGAAGAAATCTTTTTGTCTTTATTGGGATATTGGTGTAAATAAAGCTGCGTGTGGCCCAATCAGGAAAGACGTTTGAAAAGCTCTGTAATTAATTCATCTTTTACTGGAGAGCAATTAGAGAAAATGTAACAATTTCAGTCAATTTGTTCAAATGTGGAAAAGATATCAGGTTGATAACATGTAGACTGGCTGGATCTTAAAGGTCAAACCATTTAGTGTTGATGTTTGCATACAATGGTGTTCAAATTGGGGGTTGGGGGCCATTTGTGGTCCTTAGACTGATATTTTGCGGCCCCGCTGACCATAACTTAAAATAAATTAGGACAAAACTACAACTTTTAAATTAAATTTTACCTACTAAACAGTCAAATGCAACAACACAAAAAGGTAATTTTCCAGGTTTTCAGTGTAATCTGACTTGTAGATTGGCGCAAACAAATCTACTTTTAATTGTTGTAAACTTTATTTAAAGCAAGAAATAGTTGCTTATTTTAAATCAATACCTCCCTAATAACGGCAGATTATTTCAATTACAGGACATTTTCTAAATAATCTTGCAGTTGAAGCAAATATTCCCCAATAATAATCTATTATTGACTTCAAAAAAGCTCCTATTACTTAATGAAGTTACCTACATGTTACTTTTGTACTTTTTCAAGTGTAAAACAATATTTGCACAAGAAACTAGACATAAATATTTGGTAAGATTTTGTGTTTTTGCAGTGTATTGAAACTCGGATAAAAATACAGGAAGTGTTTTCAAAAGAAGACGTGCAATTAATTATGTATTTATTTAAGATAATGGATGAATTTGTTTCAGATTTATTCAATCAAGCCCAGAATAACAAGCAAACTGGTTCCTACAAAACAATAAAATTGGATTGTTATATTTGTTTAATTAAAGAAGTTTAGTGTCTAGTAGCTTAATAAACAACATATTTGGTGATTTTAGTTTTTTAAAATGATATTCTGGCGTTCGAGTCACAAAGTCTGGAGCTCCTGAATGTTCCTTAATAATCCTGTTCCTTTCTGCTATTGCTGCAACAACAGCTCCATGTTACAAGTGAAATAACACAACTGAAAAAAACAAAGCAGTGATTGATTCATTTCACCTGGCAGCTCGGTTTACGTCCCGCAGTGAGGCGCTGACCTCGGCAATCCCATCAAAAATAATACGGCGGCCTAATGATCCCAGAAAGTTGTGATTATCAGAAGCTGTGGTCCAGCGCAGCCTGCAGGACAAACCCTAATGTCCCTTAATGTCGCTGCGACTGTTTTTTCACCCCTGGAAGGTTTCTGAAGTTATGGACCGGAGTCTGGTTCTGAGTTTGTGGGTAAAAACGTCACAACCGGTGATGAGAACCAGGATTTAATTAGCTTGATTTGGCTGATGTGACGTTTGAAACATTCAACTGGTTGCTGAAGTAACTATTAGTGGATGTTATTGGCAGAACAACTGAAAATATAGAAACTTTTTCTGTCTAAAAATCGCAATAAATCTGGTTTCACAAAGTGAACTATTATGCTTCCTTGAATTTATTCTTAGAAAATGAGATTCCAAATGAGATTCAAAATGAGGCCCTCTGTCACTGTAAATCCAAATAAGCTGCTGCTTGCACCCCCCCTACCACCAACTCAAAGTTTACACTCGCTTGTAAAAATGGCTGCAACCAGATGCGCAATTATACGACCATTTGTTTGAAAAGCAGAAGTGGAGCCTCCTGCACAAACCACAAGAATACAGAAAGTGGTTTCTGGATGGTAAGTCAACAGCATTTCCAGCAGCCATTGTACAGCAGTAAAACCAGCTGACCAACCGTGCAGGGGCTCAGCTTTGTTGCTAGGCAACGGCACACTACCACTCAAATGTGACTCAACAAAAGGTTGTTTTTAGAAGCAGAAAAAACCAAAAAGCAGAAAATCCATATTGTTGCATCAACCTAGGGGCAGTTTAGCAAGTTTTTTTGTGGTCTTCTCACATTTAAAATATATTTAAGGCTCAATAACTGTAGGAAAGAAACATTTAAAGAGTCGTCCAGCACAACTAAATATCAAAATGGCGGCACTGATTGGTTTTCTACACATAGGCTGAGTTTAAAGAAATGAACGTACACTCCAACAGGTCAGCCAGAGTCTTTGTGCGAAGCGCGACGGGCCGTTTGGTTTTGTCGTTGGTGATGGCGAACTCCTGCATGCCCAGCTCTTCTGCCACTTTGGCCTGAGTCCGGTTGTTCACCAACGAGCTGCGGAGAAGCTGCAGGGAAACAGAACAAACAAACAGGAACTCGTGTTGCATCCGAACAGCAAGGTGAGCATCGCTCACTGCACGGGGTGAAAGAAGAAAAAAACCAAAGAAGAAGTCGATGAAAAGCATGAAAATGGAGGAACGTGGAATAATTCATGCAGAGAAAATGTTTCAGTCTCTTAAATATTACATCGTGACTTGGAGCGGAGCGGATGACAACATGTTCGACTTGTTAGGGTGCATTTAAGTCTCTAAAAGAAACACACAAACATGGTAAATATAGCCACGAGATGCAGAAGGGAGCAAATGGAATGAAAAGAGACTAACATGAGTTCGTCTTGCTGTGATATGCCCTCATTTTTATTTTATTTTATTTTATTTTACAGCACAACCTCGACTGAAGTGGCAAAAATAAAAAACAGACACCAACACTGGTTGAATGGGCACTTTTTATCCGATTCAAAATCCATTTCAGATGCGCTCCATGTTGACTCCTGGATATTGCTCCAAGCTTTCAGCCTTCAAAAAAGCTTTTATACAAATGATATCAAACAAGAAACATCTGCATGTGCTGGGATGCATGGATGTTTAGTGCTATCAAAAAAACTACTTATTTTTTATTCTTTATTCACTTTTTTCCTACTTATTTAATCAGGTGGTTATATAACGACATTTTAAGTGTAAAAGTTGATTTCCTACATGTTTTGATTTGTTTTTGGGAGCGCTAGCTGATGAAGCAATGTGCAACAATTCACTTGATTTGAAAAGTACAGAAAAAATAAAGATATAAATAAACTGACCATGTATTCAAATACCAGTGACAGAAACGGTTCCTCTAAGCAAGATGTCAAAAATAAGATAAAAGTTAATAAATGGGTGAATTTAGCCGAATTGTTAAGGATCTCAACGAAATTAACCAAAAGTAATTAGTAGTCCTATTTGAGGATTTTAAATAGTTTTATACACAAAAAATAAAATTTACTATGGAGTTCTATTAAGTGATAAAATAGGAAATGACTTTTGTGACTTTCATTGAGTTTTAGGGTATAAAATGTAGACTTTTCCACTCCAGCCATGCACAGTCAGCAGTTTTATAATATTCTTTATTAACTAAGAGTAAATAATCTCCAGTCTGTTTTTCACTGGCCATCCTTTATTTGATGCTCTTGATTGATTTGATGTGGAAACGTGACAAACTGTGATTCTTTTGTGCTTTTATCCTGACGAGGTTGAAATTTTTCACCTGGATGCAGCTTTATGTTTCCTGTCTGACAAAGGAGCTGCAGATAAAAGGCGTGTTTGTTATTGAAAAGCACCAAACAGTTTGGCCTCGTGACAATACCCATCACACGGAGTACAGTAAACACACTTTCTGTGGAGCGAAATGCGGAAGGAGGTGCAAATATAAAAAAAAAAAAAACAGCTAAAAAAACAAGATAAAATCACTAAACTCATTTAGAAAGCAGACGGCAGAAACACAAAGTAAAGATGGGAAAATGGATGTCTGTGGGTGGGAAAATGAAATGAAAGCCTTGTAAGAAGTGTGGGTGATGACATTTGATTTGAGTGATTTGATCTTACAGTTAAGTGTCCTTCATGGTGGTCAGGGAAGTGGATGAAGAGATATTCGGTGGCGACCAGCTGCATGATGGAGTCTCCGAGGAACTCCATCCTCTGGTTGTGGCCTCTGGATAAAAGCAGGAACACAAACCGGAGAAAAGAAGGTCACAGGAGGCGAAAACGGGATTAAATAGGGAGAGCATGCGAGGTCATCTGGATACACATCATCTCTGCGGATCTACCAGGCTTTCAGACTCCTAACTACAACCAGGATGTGTGTTTCATGTGCAGCCGCTGGGAACAGCTGCACTGACAGGCGGTGTGACAACTTGGAGGATCTGAATGCAATTCAAGCACTGAAGTACAAAAGAGTGCTTAGCGGGGAAAAAAAAAAAAACACCTGCAGGAGAGCCTGACAGCAAAAGCAGAGGCTCTGTGCAGAGGTTCAGAAACCAAATTTCAACATAATTTCCAAGAAAATGCTGTGATTCTGTACTGTAAGTCCCCACTTAGAGAGGGGTTGGGTGGGTTTGCAGTAACTGCTGCTCGCTGCTGCTGTAATGGTCATTAATTAAACAGAATTATAGATTAGCATTGCAGATGTGGGCTGGAGTCGGGCCAGGCTGGCAGGGTTCGCAGGCTGCAGGGGAACGCCATGCGAGACGGGAGGTATATTCAGCATATCCATCTATAGCTGCACGCTCCCGGCAGGAGGCGGCGTCTGAAGATGAGGAGGGTGCGGAGGTAGAGGATGAAGAGCAGCAACAAAAGGATCAAAGTCTAGTCTAACTTTTAACGTCTGTCACTCTGTTTTTTCTTTTTTTGTTTCTGAATGAGCCACAGAACGCTGGACCCAAGTCCCACAACAACCGCCAGTTATTTTGACTTCTGATTAATGTGTTAATTATACTTTTTCGACTGACTCATTTAGCATTTGTGAGAATGAAAAATGTACTTTTCTTTGTCTTTTGTTTTTCTAAACAAACACTGTAAAAAGAAAGTTCAAAGATTTGGACCCAAACCTGAAGTGAAACAAAGAAGTCAGGCAAAGTTAACTTTAAATTGCTTTGATAAAAAACATTTGCTGTCCGTGGGGGTCATGCAGAGTAACTAATAGTCAATATCTTACCAAGTATCTATTGCAATTGCCTTTGTACACTTGAAACAAAAGAAAAAATGTATGAGTAACTTGTTTTGAGGCAATAAAGTTTAATATTAAGTGTTAGTTATACTGACAGATTATTAGTGATCAATTTTTTTTGTACAGCTCTCCATGTCTTAGTTTTTCGCAGCACTTTGTCCTGTGACAGTGAACTTGGAGGCTTAAACAATTAATCAAAACAGAAATTATGATAATCAACTGTTTGCATATGAAAACAGGCTAATATTCAATTGGTGTTCAATGGGAACAAGAAAATACGTATTTGCCTTAAATTACTTAAAATGTTTTGCAGTCTGTTTATTGCTGAGTATCCTGTGTTTTTGTCTTAATTTTGTGGACCAAATCATATAATTAAAGATGAAAAATAAGGGAGTCAGATTTCAAAGAAACTCTAGTTTGAAATAACATTTTTAAAGCAGAGCTTGCCGTATGAATTTAAATCAGTCTTGAATTGTGAATTTATTTATTAGGCCGAGCAGCTAAGCGCTGCGAAGGCCTATTGTTTTCCTATTGTTTATTAGGCCCGAGCAGCTAAGCGCTGCGAAGGCCTATTGTTTTCCTACTGTTTCTTATTATTATTCTGCCCCCTAAAGAGGGGCCTTTTTGGGGGCTTTATCATTTTCAAAAACTCACCAAACTTGGCGGACGCGTAAAGGGAGTTTCAAAATTTTGTATTTTAAGGTCATTGCAAAAATCCCATAAAAAATGGCTCAATAGCGCCACCTAGAAATTTTCAAACGACCCTTTGCTATTCACTTACTTTATCCTAGAGACATGAAATTTGGTACACTTGTAGAGCTCCCCAAGATGCTCAAAATTTACAATTAATGTCATAGTGCAAGTATCACAGGAAGTCAGCCATTTTGGATTGAAGGTCCAATTTTGGGGCCATTTTTGCCGTTTACAGCCTTCGTATTTGATCGAACTCCTCCTAGGGATTTCGATTGATCGGCTTCAAACTCGGTCAGTCTGTTCATAAGGCATGTCCCATCTAAAGTTATCAAAACGGTGAGTTTTTGAGTATGCTGAAGGGGGGTTAGCAGGGGTCAAAGTTCACCTACTCGCCATAAAAAAATAAACTGCTATATCTCCTACACAGAAACTCACAGAGGCACCAAAGTTTCTGTGATTGATCATTATCGGGTCTCCTACAATACCCTATGGTCGAATGATGACATCACTTAGGCCACGCCCCCTGAGAACAGGAAGTGTTATGTTTTACTGAGAATGGTCGCTATCTGACCCCTTTGACCTCATCAACATGAAACTGTGCCAAGACACAGAGAACATGTTGGTGTGTTGAGGATTCCAACCCCGACCAGCTTTGATGGAGCAGATGGGCGTGGCGGCGTGGCGAAGTGACCTGTAACGCCATCGCCATACGTTTGGCTCTCAATTCCATTTTCAGGCCCAGCTGCTCCAAACTCACAAGGATGGTCCCTCATCTACTCCCCTACGGAATCCATCACAATATTTGGTGGGCGTGTCCTAATTTCTCTATAGCGCCCCTAGAAAACTTTAAATGATCAGCCCAAGCCATGCTTAACCTACAATTATGAAACGTTGTACACATTTGTATCTGTCAGGGACTTAAAAGAAAGTCTCTTGGAGCCATGGTCTAAACCCCACAGGAAGTCGGCCATTTTGGATTGAAGTTCAGATTTTGACCCCATTTTTGCCGTTTACAGCCTTTCCTATTTGATCGAACTCCTCCTAGGATTTCGATTGATCGGCTTCAAACTCGGTCAGTGTGCTCATAAGGCATGTCCCATCTAAAGTTATCAAAACGGTGAGTTTTTGAGTATGCTGAAGGGGGGTTAGCAGGGTCAAAGTTCAGCTACTCGCCGTAAAAATAAACTGCTATATCTCCTACAGAGAAACTCACAGAGGCACCTAAGTTTCAGTGATTGATCATCATCGGGTCTCCTACATACCCTATGTCGAGTGATGACATGACTTAGGCCACGCCCCTGAGAACAGGAAGTGTAATGTTTTACTGTGAACGGTCGCTATCTGACCCTTTTGACCTCATCAACATGAACTGTGACCAGACACCGAAGACATGTTGGTGTATTGAGGATTTCAACCCCGACCAGCTACGATGGAGCAGGTGGGCATGGCAGCGTGGCGAAGTGACCTGTAACGCCATCGCCATACGTTTTGGCTCTCAATTCCACATTTTTGGGCCCAGTTGCTCCAAACTCAAAGGATGGATTCCCATCAACTCCCCGACAGGAATCCATCACAATATTTGTGGGCGTGGCCTAATTTCTCTATAGCGCCCCTAGAAACAGCAGCCCATAGGTTATTTTGTTATTAATTATTTAAATATACATTATTATAACTTTTTATATATATATAAGTTTATATTGTGGGTTTAAAGTACAAACATTCATTCATTTTTGCTAGAAATAATACAAACAAAGTCATTCAGCAAAGCTTATGACAGCGAAGTAAGAACACACTGGGGTCAGTGTTGATGGAGTACCACTGGCACCTTGTGCGTATACTGGTACTGCTAGTGCAATACAGTATTGCCCCAGCAGGAGGCAGTGGTACTCCATCAATGAGAAAATAGATCGACGCTACGTAATAACAGTCAGCCGGCGACAGCTGGAGCTGCGAAGTTTTCCTGAACATTTTGCCTGCTTTTTGGAGCCACAGAACTGTACTACGCTCAACATTTTGCTTGGATTTTGGAGTTGCAAATCCGAACCACGCTTTTGAGCAAGAAGGCTCTGTTGGACCGGAAGGCTCTGTTGGAGAAGTTTAAACTGAGCAACAGCTTCCGCGGTGCGGGCGGAGGCGGTTGCTCGTACCCCGCGGTGGCAATAGGCCGGAGCGGCGCTTGGCTGCGAGGGCCGTTCGAGGCTGCTTGCAGCTTTAATTAGGCCCGAGCAGCTAAGCGCTGCGAAGGCCTATTGTTTCTGTACTGTTTCTTATTAGGCCCAGCAGCTAAGCGCTGCGAAGGCCTATTGTTTTCTGTACTGTTTCTTATTAGGCCCGAGCAGCTAAGCGCTGCGAAGGCCTATTGTTTTCCTACTGTTTCTTATTATTATTATTATTATTATTATTATTATTATTCTCCTCCAAATGAATTGGCTTTTTGGGGGCTTTATCATATTCAAAAACTCACCAACTTGGCGGAGGCCTTAAGCCTGTTTCAAATTTACGTATTTTAAAGTCGTCGCCAAAATTCCACAAGAAATGGCTCAATAGCGCCACCTAGAAATTTCAAAGGACCCTTTGCTATTCACTTACTTCATCGTAGAGACATGAAATTTGGTACACTTGTAGAGCTCCCCAAGATACTCAAATTTACAATTAATGTCATAGTGCAAGTATCACAGGAAGTCGGCATTTTGGATTGAAGGTCCAATTTGAGCCCATTTTTGCCGTTTACAGCCTCGTATTTGATCGAACTCCTCCTAGGGATTTCGATTGATCGCCTTCAACTCATCAGTCTGTTCATAAGGCATGTCCCATCTAAAGTTATCAAAACGGTGAGTTTTTGAGTATGCTGAAGGGGGTTAGCAGGGGTCAAAGTTCACCTACTCGCCGTAAAAAATAAACTGCTATATCTCCTACACAGAAACTCACAGAGGCAACAAAGTTACTGTGATTGATCATCATCGGCTGCCCTACAATACCCTATGGTCGAATGATGACATCACTTAGGCCACGCCCCCTGAGAACAGGAAGTGTAATGTTTTACTGTGAACAGTCGCTATCTGACCCCTTTGACCTCATCAACATGAAACTGTGCCAAGACACAGAACATGTTGGTGTATTGAGGATTCCAACCCCGACCAGCTTCGATGGAGCAGATGGGCGTGGCGGCGTGGCGAAGTGACCTGTAACGCCATCGCCCATACGTTTGGCTCAATTCCACATTTTTGGCCCAGCTGCTCCAATTTCACAAAGATGGATCTCATCCACTCCCCGACAGGAATCCATCACAATAT